GGGGGGAGGGAGGGCTTATATATTCTGGGGGGCTTATATTCGAGGGGGATTACATTCGAGGGGGCTTATTTTCGGGGTGGCTTGTATTTGGAATGAGGTGAGCATTAGTACATGTGGTGGGCTTATACATGGGGGGGCTTATATTCAGGGGGGCTTATAGTAAGTCGGAGGTTTACGGTATTTATTTAAAGAGTCTGAGTAAGGGACCATGATTGTAAAAATACATTGCGTCTTGTTCCGCATTAGTTTAGGGGCATTCAAAATATGCATTGCCCACATAACGCAAAATTCCCATTGGTTGATATTGACATGCCTATCAATCAAATCTGATATGTAGTAATTATGCTATAAATAATTTCCAGGCTTGATGTTGATTTTATAAATAAAAATGACAGGCTAAGGCTTAAATGAGCAGTTTCTATTGGGTAGAGTTAATTGGATATAACTATAATGATTATGCAAAGGTGGAGCCAATTTGACAAGAGCAAAAAGTGGGCATATTTAATTTCTTGATGTGTTGTCAGCAGTCCCTTCGTACGCCCGGGAATCTAAACCCGCGGAAAGGAGGGGCCACTTGCAGTCTACAATGAATATAGACCCATACATGTACATAATAAATTTTAATAAATGTGTTTTTGGTATACTAAGGGCTATTTGTAAAAACCTAAAAATAAATTAAATACTTTAATTTTGTGACAAAAACGGCAAATATTTAAATGAAAATCCCAAAACGCATACCCATCATATACTGTACATGTACTGTAGTTTTGCATGCGTCAACAACAAATTATCAATGGCTATGATCAAATACTCCAGCGTAAATGTGTGGATAATGTCAAATAAACTTTGCCGGGTTTATGGATAATATGCTATGCTTTTCACACACACTGATTTGCATTTCGTCCCCATTTTGCTTTTCGTAGTGGATTCAAAGCTGACCTCTCCCCATCATGAAACAAGTCCGAAATCGGTGGATGAAATCTATTTGTCAATGCCCCCAAGAGTCAATTCGAAGAGTAACCACCATGCCCCCCCCCCCTCCCCTCACTGGGCCCACTTGGTGGCCATGCCCCAGGTGAGGTCATGCACAATTAGGAACAAAGTCGAGCTGGTATGAGACCGCGTAGCTTGCAAGTTAATTGTGACGGGACCGGGCCACTGGGGGAAACGTTTTCAGTAATTGGGCCTGAGAAGGTCAATTTTAGCAACAGGAAAGTAACATAACTCAGAGTACAAATCAAATTTGGCCACATAATAGGAAAATAGTGTAGTCAGACCGCACTAAAATAGAAAAGAGAATGTTATAGAAAACTAAGAAAAAGACACCTATTCAATCTGGTCAGTAAATATTACAAAAGGATACTGGGAAATTTGAAATTTCTATTTTCCTAGCGTGGAGAAAACCTTCTGACCCAGGTCTGCAGTTAGCTCCAGTGAGTCCAGTCACTTGCAGGTAACGCCGTTACCACGGATCCTAACATCTGACACGGAATTGGGGGCAAATCATGAGTGTCTGACAACCATGATTTCCCCCCAATTGCCCTTTGGTTTTAAGGTGCAGTACAATAGAAAATTAATTGAATGCCCCACTCCTCGGCAAACATTTGATTTCAAATCCCCCACCCCAAGGAGGTAACCCATTAACGTGCAAGACTTCCTCTTGACAAGTAAAATCGCCTGGCATTAGACAGAGTAAAATAAAGTAGGGTGCATTTGGGTCATTCCAGAAAAGATCCACACTCCCCCCATGGAGGAAATTTCTGTTGTCCGGAGGGGAAGGGAAAAAATTTGTTTCTTGATCTTGAATTACGGTGCATGATTCAATTAATGTGCATGTAATTATTTTTATTAATGTTTCAGTGCTGTAAAAGTTACTTATTTTTTGAAACTAGTTACAGTTGCCTGCTCAATAAAGAAACTAGTTACCAGTAAAAGTTACCGATAAAGAATGTAACTAGTTACTAGATAAGACTTCGTCCATTTCCAGATAACACAATATTTTAATAATAATCGAGCTCGTCACGGAATGACGAGAAGTCAGAACAAGTACACAGTGAAACTACAACTAGTTACCAGTTTCGTATTCTACAGGTAACCCATTATGTTCTATCTCCCCCCAAGTCTTAAATGGTTCTTGGATCAGAGAGTGTTTAAGACTGATTGTCTGAATATGAATAGTTATATAAAGGTCTGTGATTATTCTTTTAGTCCTTTTCTATTGTGGCCTAGTAGTCTTCTCAGGGCTAAAGGTGATTTCTTGTTTCTTGAAGGGACCTGGTTGTCGGTTGCTTGTTGGTCCGCTGTGGGTGGTGGAGTACCTAGAGTTATTGGTACAACATTGGGGGCGGTAATCGGTAGTGGGTTTACATCTGTTGGGATGCTTGGTGGTGGAATGGGATTGGGTAGGTTTCTAGGTTTTTCGCCATTGTGGTTAGGTTGAGGTTGTTCGGGTAGCATCGGTTGTGGGTTAGGGAGGGTTGGTGTGTCAGCTGAAGGTGTAGTGACGTGGCGTAGATCATCCATGATCGTGTGACGAGGTGGTAAGATACCAACAGGGACATATTGTCGTAAGAACTTGCGATTGCACATGGTGACTCTACCAGAACCATCAACTCTGACGACGTATTGGTCAAACTGGCGTACTTCCATGATAATGCCGGTTTTATCCCATCTGGTGGGGTGGGGCCCAGTTTGGTTTTGGATGCGAACATGGTCGCCAACTTTCAGGGGTGGTAGTCGTTTGGTGTGTTCGGACCAGCGTTTTGACGCTTGCATGTGGCGGTTTCTTAGAGCTTGTTCTCTGGCAGATAGGGTGTCTCTCCATGTGGGGTGGGGGATGTATCGGCCTGATAATATGGGGATGAAGTCCTTGATGGGTCTGCCGAAGACACATTGTGCGGGGGATAGGTTGGTGCTTGGGTCTGGTGTGTTGCGATATTGTAGGATTGCGCGTTGCAAGGAGTCGGTGTCAAGACTTCCTCGTGTGTCTGTGTTGTTGGTTATGATGCGTTTAACGGTTTTAACGCCTATCTCGGCCCTGCAGTTGGAATGCGGGAATGCCACGGAGGAAAGACGGTGGTTAACTCCCCAATCTTTAAAGAACTGACAGGTGGAGGCTGCAGTGAATTCTGGGCCACCATCTGTAGCGCACTCATCAAGGATTCCGAAAGTGGCAAACAGGCGTCTTAAGCAGTTGATTAGACCTTTCGCCCCATCTTGTGCTCGCTCGATGATTGGCCAGTTAGAGTAACGATCAACAATTACGAGGTATTGCATGCCTGTGTGGTGAAAGAAGTCTGCACAGATGCATTGAAAAGGGTAGATCGCTGGTGTGGGAGGGTAGGGTGGGGCGCTGGGTTGAGAGGGGGCCATGCGGTTGCAGTGTTGACAGTTGGTTCGAAGCGCTGTGATAGAGAGAGTGATGCGTGGCCAGAAGACTGACTTGGCTCTTGCTATCATGGAGGTCACTCCTTGGTGGGCACAATGTAGTACACTGAGGATGTGTGGGCGGAGGGGGGATGACAATTCTCTCCTTGTACATGATGACACCGTCTATGGTATGGAGATGGTCGCGGAATGGGTAGTATTCTTGAAGGTTGGATGGTAATTCGTGTCTGAGCTGGGGAAACCCAGATTCGATGAGGGTGATCAATTGTGTCATGTCATGGTCGCTTGTGGTCGCCAGCTTAACTCTATCCCATGTTATTGCCATGGTGCTGAGTGCCGCCAAGGCTGATGAAGCCAGTTGATCATCTGGGTTGTAGTTGCGTGGTGGATCCTGAGAGCGGATGCCTGCTAGGAAAAAGTAGCCAAGGTCGTTGAAAGGGAAGGTGGCTTCTGAGTCAGTGGTAGCCGCGACGTCGTCTGGTAGTAGCATCCTTTCTGGGTTGGTTGGACCTGTTGGGTGGCGAGATAGCGCGTCAGCAGCTCTGTGCTTAACACCGGGGACGTGGACCATTTTGAACCGATAGCGAAGGGTTTTCGCCTTGAGGTTTCGTAGTCTGCCATTGGGGATGTCTTCGAAAGAGCGGTCGCCAAACACTTTTAATAATGGCTTGTGGTCAACAGCGATTGTTAGGTCGGTACAGCCCAAGACAAAGAATCTGGTCTTGTCGAGAGCATCAGCTACGGCCAGAGCTTCTTCTATTGGCGCATATCGCGATTCTGCGGCATGGGTTAAGTGACTGCCGACTAGTGTGACTTTCCACCCGGTTGGGCAGCAGAACGTGTCAGTGGAATCACAGGTACAATGTTTTTGGAATGACCAAAATCCAATGCCATTTTTTGACCAATCCGTTGCCAAGCATGTTGGTTTTGATTTGTCAAATTGTTGCCAAGCATGTTGGTTTTGATTTATCATAAATTATCTTCAATATCATCCTCGAAAGCAGCTGGTCCAGATGAAATACCGAATTGGGTCCTAAAAGATTATGCGCCCCTGCTGTCTTCCCCTGTTACTTCAATCTTCAACGCCTCCCTTCAACAGGCGTCTGTTCCCGGGGTATGGAAAAAAGCCGACGTCATCCCTGTACCTAAAAATAAGGTGCTGAGGGACATTACTAAAGACTTGCGTCCCATTTCGCTTACTGCCACTTTGTCAAAAACGTGTGAACGTTTTGTCGCAGACTGGCTGATGGAGTTGATTGGTGAGAAGATCGATAAACGGCAATTTGGATCTCTAAAAAACTCTTCAACAACACATGCATTATTGAGCCTTCTCCATCACTTATTAAACGAAACTGATGTGCCGAAAAACGCTGTGAGAATTTTTTTATTAGACTTCTCCAAAGCTTTTGACCATATCGATCATAACATCCTCCTCAGTAAATTATCTGATATGGACGTTCCATCATTAATAACAAACTGGATAAGAAGTTTTCTTACTCAACGAAGCCAACGGGTCAGAATGCCCCATTGTGTGTCAGAATGGCAAATCCTCAACGGTGGAGTACCCCAGGGAACTGTTTTAGGCCCAATCCTCTTCCTAATCATGATAAACGATCTCCTCGCTGATTGGAAAGACCGATGGAAATACGTTGACGACACCACCACTACCGAAACCATTGGCCCAGATTGTAACAGCAACCTTCAAGAACTGGTTAATTACATCAATAATTGGACTACGAGTAATAATATGAAATTAAACATTGGAAAATGCAAAGAACTGGTTATTGATTTTGCAAAAAAGAAGCATTGCTTTCCCCTTTTAACAGTCGATAAAGTTAATATTGAACGAGAGACATCTGCCCGTATCCTTGGCCTCACAGTCCAAGATAACATGAAGTGGAATGAACATATAAATAACATAGTTAAAAAAGCTAGCGAGAGGCTCTATATGCTAAGACTGCTAAAAAGGTCCAACGCGTGTATTGACACGTTAATTACTGTATATACTACCATTATTAGGCCTGTTTTAGAGTACGCATGCCAGGTCTGGCATTACAATATCCAACAATATTTATGTGACGATATTGAAAAAATACAAAAACGCGCGTTGAGAATAATCCTCCCATCGCAAAAGTACGACGAAGCGCTGATCGCGACTAACATCACGTCACTGAGAGATCGACGAGAAAAATTATGCGAACATTTCTTTGAGAAGAATATTGACAATGAAACTCTCAAAGATCTTTTACCACAAACAGTTTTATCTGGATATGATCTAAGACCGATATGTAAATATCATAATTATGTTTGCAGAACCGAACGTTTTAAGAATTCGTTTTTACCTCAAAGTATATTAAAGATTAACAGTAAATAAGTTTTTAGAAATGTAAATAATCTTAAATATGTAATTATTATGTAATTTTAATTTATCCTCTTAATTTATGTAATACTGGTGTAATTTAACCTTTTTGGGTTACAAAGTCAGTAGTCATTAAATCAATTCAATTCAATTCAATCTGTACGCCTCTCTCGATTTCGCTGACGATCACTGATTTGGATTCCTCGAATAAGGTGTTTAGCTCAGGAGTCCAATGGAATGTCGAGCCAGGCTTAAGTAACTCACGGAACGGGAGCATTCGTTCTGTGGAGGAGAAGGCATAATAGACTTGGTTGATTAGACCGAACCAAGATCGGATGTCGGTAGGTTTCGGGAAGTTGAGGATTGCATTTAGGAATTTCTTGCATGGACGCACGCTGTCAGGGGTAATTTCGAATCCAGCAAATTCCACGGTGTCAGCTCCAAAGACGAACTTTTCCGGGTTCAGTATGATGCCATGGTGGCCACATAGGTCCAACCAATCGACTGCCTGAATAACCGTCACCAGAGGCTATATAGCCTTGCGGAGCAGTTTTGTACCTATATCGGCCCCATGGTGTGATAAAGGTTGTGAGGTGATGGTCGTCTTTGTGTAGTGGGATACTGTGATAGCCATTCCAACAGTCAAAGACTGTCTTCTTGGTATTACTTGGGATGGAGCGGGCCTGGTGGAAGGGGCTCTGAGTGTGGTGGGTCTCCCTGGTTGCATGAGCGTTGAGCCGTTGAGGGCTTGAAAGTCGATCGTGCGGCGAGGTTTCCCAGTTTTCTTTGCACACACGACCATCCTATGGCACCATGTTACGGGTTCTCCGACAGGTACGGGTTCGATAACACCCAAGGCAACATCATGGTCCAAGCCAGCTTTCACCTCTGCTTGCCAGTGAAGTGGGATAGGGACAGGGTTGTGGTGGGCAACAGGTGTTGTATTTGGGTCAACCATGAGTCGCATGGGGATGCTTTCCATTAGGGGTAGCGGTTGGTGCTCACAGGTGTTGAATGTGCTTGACTCGTAGTAATCAAGTAGCCATTGTTGTAGGCGTTTTCGGTTGTCTTCCGTGGCTGAGAATGGGAGGTGTGTTGGTTTAGGTGGTGGTGTTCTGCGATGTGGGCAACCACAGGATGGAATGGGTGCTTCGTTGGGGGGTTTGGGTTGCGTTGGTGGGTGAAATTCTGTTGCAGAGGCTGTCTCGGGGTCCGTGGTTGGGCAGGGAATTTCGCCAAAAGTGGGAAATGCGGAAGAGATTAATCCCAGTGCTGTACAGGCTTCCCGGCTAAGGAATAACTTGTCAGAGTCATGTGTGACATAGACAATTTGGCGTGTTTGTAGGGACTGTCCAGAGGTAGATTGTCCCGAGAATCGCAGGATCACTGCACCGATTATTTTGATACCGTTGTTGTTTGCTGCGTGCATGCGCATGGTAACTGGTATCAGGTCGTCTTCACGCAGGCCGAGGCGGCGAACAACGTTCATACTAGCTAAACAACTTTGACAGTACAAACTTTGTTTCACGGTTGAACAGCCACAAGCTAATTCATGAAACTGCAGGCTTATTTCCAGTCAAAATCGAGAAGAAAAAAACCGTGTCGTACTTTTGTAAACTTTTTAACGAAATTTAAAACAAAAAATTACTGTAAAACAGCAAAATACGTCGTTTCAAAATGAACAGCAATTACTTCGACAGATTTTGTACTCGCGCATGCGTATAACGTCGAAAACCGTCATGGAGGACAACTTTGCACTCCCATAGAGTGCACTCCGCTATGTTTTCACATACCCGGGTATAATTAGCCGTGCGGAATTAGTACCCTCGCACGGCGCTTTGCGCCGCCGGCTCGGGGATGAAGTATTGAATGCATGGGTTAGTTTAATTACAGTGCATGGCTACAAAGTACGTCTGTTTACAGCAAACCTTATACAGTAGCTACGATTTGTAGCTCCAAGGTACGCCTGTTTTCAGCATACCTCACTGGTCTCTGAAATCTACATATGCAGGAAGTTTTATATTTGACTTACACAGGAAATCTTTATTTTTGGAATTTGCTGCAACCGACTGACTCTAAATCAAAAGTGCGACAATATTAATAGATCGCGCGAAAGACGGGCCCGAGTGAACTCTGGAGAAACATTGGCTATACAGCCTCGTTTTCGTGATTGAGACGTGGGGTTTAGCTATAGAAATAATACATGTATCTATTATTTCTATGATAGATGTATCTATGTCATTAACTGATGTCAGATGTACATGAAAACGAAACTCCATAGCCAATGTGACGTACTTTCCGGTATGATGTATTATTCCTGTGCAGAGCTATAAAAAGTTATTATAGCCATATATATATATATATATATATATATATATATATATATATATATATATATATATATATATATATATATATATATATATATATATATATATATATATATATATATATGGTACTATTTGGGGACCATCCTCCAACTGTAATAAATTTAAAATAAATTTATTTTTCATTAGGGATATTCTGAATGATCTCTATAATGATTCTTTGGGAGAGAGTCAGAGAAAAGGATCGGAATATTGTGGCAGACGTGGCACTATCTTTCCAATGGACTTCATGTCGGAATTCGAGGAAGTGTTCGATAATTTTTTCAAGGGATTTCCTGTTATGGCCTTCCCACTACCCAATGGTACATTCTTACTTTCATCAACTATAACTAAGCAGGTTTCTAAGTATGCAGCTCCTCCGCAGATAACTCGATGGAAAACAACGGTGACATTTACGCATTGGAGAGCTTTATATATGACTATGAGCACGACAAAACGTGATTCGTTATTTGCAAATACTCGCCATCTTCTTGCGCCATTCCATACACATTGTTGAAGGGTTTTGTTAATGAACATTTCAAGTGTAAATTTTATACATTTATTAGCTCGAGAAGGAGAAGTTGCGAAAAATGCAACAATAGTCCCCTGGGGCCGGTTGTATAAAAAGGTGATTAAAGTTAACTATAGTTAGTGGAAACGTCATCCAATAAGAAGCGCGTATTTGAGAGTTAATCCCTATTTAACTACAAAATAGTGATTAAAAA